TCACAATAATTCATTTCTCTGTGGCTGATGAACCATAATTAGCTTTACTGAACCAACTGTAGTGGAGGGAAGTTGTATTACTGTACATAATTAATAGGTGAGCTGATTGAGATCAATCCCAACAGATACACGTTCTCTCCATGTTGTGAAAGAAAGGGAGAAAAGAACAATCTCTATATTAGTCTCAAAGGCAGCTCTTTCCAAGGCTGGTTGTGGTGGTGGAGGTTGGGACCCTTAGATCAGCTGCACACCAGACCAGACACCCTCAACATCTAGCTAAGTGCCACCCCCCTCCCCTTCCCACAGTCCCTGTTCTGGTGAGAAGATGATGTAGCACAGCCCTTTGAGACTACTCGGACTGATATGACATTAGCAAAATAAACAAGTTCTTTGCTGTTTTCGGTGTGCACCATCGTGTCCCAAAATTAACTTGTTTCGCTTATAATATCTACTTTATCTAGAATTTTTTTTTTTTTTTGAGAATATTTCATCAATTTTCATTTAGTGGAAAGACATAATTTTTTACTCATTTTGATACAAACATCACAATTCTATGTGGTTAGACATACTTTTCGTACTGTAAGTATATTACAAATAGGTATTTATCTAATTTTGTGAACTAGTTAGATCTAGTTAATGTGTTCAAGAGATTTAGTAAATTATTGCTCCAACATTTTTACTTTAAACTGTAAGGAGAAAGAAAGTGCATTTTTATGGTAACATTAGATTTTTTTCCAAATTCCCATTAATTTGGCTTACTGGAAAGTGTTCATTATTATACCAAACTTTTAATTACATGTCTCAGATGTGTACTTTTAATTAACTGATGACATTTTTTTTGTTCAATTATTGTAGTTCAATACAACTGTCATAAACTTATAAATTTTAATTAAAGCTGCCCCAATCTCTAGCTATATAATGTTCACATAGGAATTTGCCAAAAGGCTTAGCAGTAAGTAAACCAACAGTGAATAATCCCCGAATTGCCAGTGGGATTTGTTTAACAAATTAACATTTGTGTGCAGATAATGAGGTTCTACCATTTACCACATCCAGCAAAGATTTAGCACATTCATTTTTTAAAAAAATGAGTAATACTCTGCAATTTAGTTAATTGGTTATCACATTACTGTTATATATTAGGTGGTGAAAGAGAATGGGATTTACACATTCACTAGAACACACACATTCACTAGAAGAGCATTTTATAGGCTGCATCATTTTATTTATATCACAATATGATGAAAGGGTTGTTTTCAGGATATCTCTTCCTCGGTTTCTGAGCCAGAAGCCAAGAAAAAGGAAATTCCCTGACTCCTAGGGAAGCCTCCCAGCAGCGGGGACCCTGCAGAAGCTCATCTCTCCGAGAGCTTAACTTTACTGGCAGTCCCTAAGCTTTCCAAAGGGCATGTGTAGAATGACACTCGTTAGAGCGACCGCATCAAAGCTGTTTGAGTTGGATAATATACAAGAATCGATAAGGGCAATTGGAGCTTTTAAGAAAGACAGAGTCAAGCAAGCTGAAATTATCACAGATCATTTATATTTTGGGGATAGGATTTGGATTGGCACTCGCACACATATGGCTTCTGCATCTTCCAGAGGAAAATGCTTCATCATTTTGAACAAAAATAATTTTTTTAAAAAAGAGAACAATGGGAAAATATGTGCAACTTGATTGCATCGGTTTAGCAGGACAGTTTGATGAGCCAATTGTATAATGGATCAAAAGTATAACCGCTGCTTTTTGAGGAATTGGTTGTGAGCATTGCAGTATGGGTGATGGTATGCTGCATAGACAGCAATAACACAGTAGAAGAAATTAAGATGATATTCAGCTAACTTTATTTTAAAATAGTAATTTTATACTTTCCAGAAATGTGAGAGAATTCTCTACACACACACAGAGAAAAAAAAAAGTGTGCAATATATCTATTGCTAGTGGATAGGTCAACCTGGTAGGATGTAACATTATAAATCTAGATGCAATATAATACTTAAGTTCTAAAACCACTAAGGAAAAACCAAGCAAGCTTAAGTTCTAAAACCACTAAGGAAAAACCAAGCAATTCCTGGTATTAAGGAACATTTTCATTTCTACATGTAGCAACATGCAAGAATAAAGTACCATATACACTAATAACTCTCATATGAACCTGTCAAAGGAGATCAACTCTGCCTTGGAGGCTGAGACGACGAGAAGGGAGTGAATGAATGCTGCTCTGGTCCGGATTTCCCACCCTCAGCCAAACTGGGAACGATGTGTGCAGCCCCTGCAGCTAAATGTGCACTCACTGATGCAATGACTGAACGACATGCTTTGTACAGGCGTATATTCGACTGGAAGGAGGAAACGGTTGTTGCAAAAACACTTGAGGAATTAAGCTTTGTTGACTTAATTACAGTTTTCAATACTTTTGGGGTGTCCAGTTTAGCTTCCTTCTGTAAGATACATAATGGCTTTAGTATATCATAGATTAGATTAAACTAGGATAAGGGGACATCTCACTGACATGCTAGTTTGTTTCAGAAGCACACAATTTATGGCCTGATACAGATAAGAAATACAGTCTGATGAGAAAGAGAGATTTCTTCTTAATAGAATATTTACAGGGTCCAGGGGCTAGGCATGTAAGGAAGATGAGATGAGGATCAATTTGAAAATTTTATCTGGAATACTGGATGGAGTCACTTTGATTTAGAAAGATATACGGTCTTTTTTCCATGTCTCCAGCACACAAAAGTTATGGCACGGGCTTCAAGGCACAGCTACCCTCATGAAGTGGAACTGGCAGATAGGAAATCTGGTTAACTTGAAATATGATTATTAAAAAATTGATTAAACTGGGAAAGTGGGCACAGCACAGCAGAAGAACATTCCCATTAGCAGGTATGCCCAGCAAGAGTCATCAGAACCAGCTCTACGTTGGTCTCGGCTCACAAAGGCTTGGCACACTTTGGCCATGTGTGGTACAGTAAACTTTAGGTGCAGTTACAGGTTCAGATTCCCAAAATTCAGACTTTTGAACAGTGAGATGTGGACTGTGGTGACATTCATGCTGATGCATTTTTGGTGCAGGCACATGACCCTGTTTGAGGCCAAGCAGAACTAAGGCTAACGCCTGCATCTCCAGGCCCTCTGTAGCAGCTGGGGCCATGATTAACAATTTAGCAGAAGTATATTGTAGAAGCTGCTCATATCTCTCCTTTACTCACTGGTGACCAAACCTATTACACTAATTATTTCAGCAAGGCTGAAAGATTTCAGAGGCTGGATTTAGCAGGGAAAGAAAAAAAAAAAATCCAGGTGATAGCATAGCTGTGTGAGCACGGCAAGTGTTACGTGCCTGGTAAAGAAAACACGAGCTGCTGGAGGTGAGTGAGCCCTATGGCTCCTGCCAAACGAAAAGGACTAAATAAAACCCTGGGGTCTCCGCGAGACTCAGAGCTGAGCTGAGTTCCAGGAGCCAGAGTTATTAATTTTATGAAGCCTTTTAACCCCACAAAAGTATCAATTAAATGCCAAACATGTAAAGATGTGGGAGTAAACATTCTCTCCTCAGATGATGAGGATGTTTTGCACGTCATTTAAATCACCCGTGACTTATTTCCATTCACTTGCATGTTCTCACTAAACATGTATTGATCTCACTACATTGATAAAAATCTCTGCTTATCATTTGTGTCAGTAGTTCCATCAGCTGTTAGAAGCAGTTTCAAGTATAATTAATCAACTTCAAGTACACGTAATTCTCATTTTCTAATATTTAATCATTATTAGTGATGTTAACTATGAACGACATTATTAACCCTCAAATACACAGAGCCGAAAAATCCTCTTTGGCACAGAACAGATTACTAGATTTGCATTCACTTGGATTTTTGCCACCACATGTCAGTAAATAAGAGAAGGCTCCAGAGAAGCCAGCAAGTGAAGCTAAATTGCTAAACTACATAAGCTAAATTTAATTAGTAAGGAGTGCTAAGGCAAACATTGAGATCTAAGCCCCCTCTGTCACAGAGACTAAGATACATAATTCTGCATTACAGAGAGCTCTCTCAGGTTGTGCTAAACAGTCACAAACTCCTGTTCTGACATCAGGTGCCTGTACTTTTCTTACAGAGATGAGGGTGTTGGTCATTGCATCGCAAGGAGAAAATGATTCACACCATCTTCAGCAGCTGATAGGCTTCTGAGAAGAGACAAGACAGCAAACTCTTTTCCAGCTGTTCTACTTTGAAAATATTTAAATATTCCTTGGAGCAGAAAACAGAATTCAACTTCTCCTTTCTCACAAAATTACTAAATTTTAGGCTACTTCTTGTCACACTTTCCTTCTCTAGCCCCAACACTAATTGCATTATACAAGCTACAACAGCCTACGTGTTAGGGACAAAGACCAACTGCCCCAATACCCATGTTTTGACAGTTAGGATAATCTCCTTGAAGATAAGATATGCAATTTAAAATTCCTTCAGGAAAACAAAGGATCTGAATTCTGATCAACTAAATCTTCCTGCGAATTAGACGAGTGAAATGCCTACTCTGTGAATTCCAGTAAGACAAAGGTTAAAGATTGAGGTCACACGACTCTGTAATTTAAGGAAATATCTCCATGTATGCACCTAAAAATTTAGCTGGAGAATGGGGACAAAGAGAGAGCAAGATGTGTGGGGTTGTTCCAGATGTAGTTTGACTGGACCTTACACTTTACAATTCCATTTCTACACCTCGACATCTGTGTCTTTATACTGAATACTTACATGCTCTCTTTTGTGGGATGGAGCTTAATTCTGCTAAAACACCGAGATACGTGACTGAAAAGCACTATTGATTATAAAAGTGTATGTATGGTATATACTGCTATATTGCATATCGTTTAAGTACGGACACAGCAAATAAGTTACAAAGAGAAAATATATCACAAGCGAGGAATAAATTCAAAGATTTAAATTACGGCAGGTATAATAGTAAGATACAGCTGCTCAGAAATATTTACCGAGGAGAGAGGCTCCACAGGTTCCTCCATTCTGGCAGTAGTTGTAGCAATGGTTAGTTTCACACCTCTCACCGGAGTAACTTGGCCAGCAGTGACAGCGAGGATCCCCCTTCTCGTTTATAATGCACTTTCCTCCATTTTCACAGGTTAATTTACAGGTATCATCTGCAGCAAGAGCACACACAGAATTGTTTTTAACAATTCCGTTTCATGTAACTGGCCAAACAGAACCTGTTTGCATCTTAAACAGAGCTACAGATCTCTATCACTAGGGGAAAAAAAATACTACTTTTCACAATGGAGAAAGTAAACTATCACTTCTGTTTCCACAGTACCAGAAAAAAAGGAAACCATAAGCCCTCACTGAGAGCTGCAGGGTTGGTGGGGGCTGCATTAGCCTGTGCAGCGGGGCTGTGAGCTTGTACTGCACTGAGCTGGCGGTTACGCTTCATCCCAGTGATGCCACAGGAAAGTTGACCTCCTTAGAATGCAAGTTAGTAAAGATAGTATGGGTTCTTGCTTGAAACTATCATTCCTAGTTAGTTTAAGAAAGGAAAAAATGAATGTTACCTTCACCTGGGGGATCTCAGAAAACTTCCCAGTCATTTTTTGGTGACCTCAGCCTTTTCCTATTTGATTTTTTTGATCTCTCTTCCACTCTATTAACTAAGACCCTTCTTAACTAAACCCTATCCAAAATATTTAAAAGGAACTTATTCAGCCTTTAAATCCTCCTCAAAAATCGGTATCTACATTCTAACTTGTTGCTCCTAAACAATATTTTCTGATTCTCGTCTGCTCAGTCTGTAAGATCACTGAGAAGAGATACTGCCTGCTGCTCTGCATTCACCGAGTGCTTACGGCAGTAGTGCCACTGTCTTAGTGGTGAGGTACGAGGTGACACAAATTCCGATTAGGCCAGATTCAATCTTTCTCTAAAGCTGGTTTGCAATTAGAGTTGTGCCTGTCTTGGAAGCATTTTGAAAAATAAATCTCTATTCATTTCAGTGAACAAGATATAAAAATCATTCAATGACACCAACAAGAAATTAATTATAGACTAGCATGCATACAATGCTCAAACATCCAAATAATTGTAATCCTAAAGAAACAGAAAAGCACCTTTCCAGCCTGAAACATGCTTTCAGCAATAAGACCTTTAATTTCTCATACAGCAAAACAAATCCTGTGAAACCAGACTGCTGCCTAAGTAATCCTTTTGAACCTACCTGGCTTTTAACAAGAGGGATACCACAAACACTGAGAACTCTTCAGTAATATATCCACCAGCTGCAGATATTTTGCTGAATTAATCTCTTCCAGTTAACTTACGAAAAAGAGTCAAGGTTCCCATTTGTCCTGTACGTGTTGAGGTCTAACATTGACTGACCCACACCAACTCCTTTTTGATGTTTAAAGAAACATACTGCATTGTAAGTGCAGAATTTAGGAATGACGGATATCGTCTAGCTGAATGGCTGTCTCCAGCATGGACCCTGCAGAGTTCAGTAATATAACAGTGTTCACGCAACGGCCTTTTCTTTGGATGGACCCAAGTCTCTTCCCTGCCCATGTACAGACCTCCTCGGCAGGGTCTGGCTGCCTCGGTTCACGGCCAGTTCTGAGATGGTGCAGACGCGTAACTGGGATCAAACCTAGTTAAACAAAACTTCTGGGAACTGATCATCATTCAGGCAATTGCACCTCTCTCAAATTAAGCTGAAACTAGACAACAAATTTAAAAGTTATTGTGGGGGACTGACTGGCACATCATTATTTCAGGTGTTTTACAATAAAAATATGAAATATTGTATCCACCCAAGATATATATATCTGCTGCAACAAAGCTACTTTGTATTTGGGAGTTTTAATATGCGTTAGTGTTTTATTTATTTGGGTGGTTCATTAAATCCTTTGATGTTCCACAAACCATTCTTCAGTTACTCATTATGGAAGTTGTTTAAATGGATAATGTAGCATGTCTTATTGGAGAGAAGGTCTATTTCTGTTTTGCTTATCTTATCTGTTTTACTTATCATTAGTCATGAGTTTATAGAGCAGAACTTGGTAAAAATGGAATAAATAACTCTGAAGTACAGACAAGTGCTCATTTTTATGAACCTTTCTGATAGCACATTAAAAACATGTTCTGTTTATCTTCTAGAGTAATTCTGCAGAATTAAGATGTAAGATTTGGAAAAAAAAGGAATTAAGACAGACTATGAATTCAAGAGAAAAGCAGAGTATCAAAAGGCATATTTAGAACTATAAAACATGAACTACAAACTTGAGAGTTACCCTGACCACACCAAGAAATACATGCCTTTATATTTTCAGGAAAATATACCGAGCCAAAAATTGCCCACAGCAATGATTTTCTAATCCAATTGGCTTTCAACGATTGGGACACTCATGTCTTATACTTTCAAAATTAAATATATGTTATAACTTTATGCAGTGGTCAACTGAGAAGGTTCCTGAAAAAACATAAAAGGTTGTAATACTTTGTATCATCACAAGATTATTAAAATTCGCTTCTGATTTTGTTCTCTGCAAAACATTTTAAATTCAAGAGTTTCAACACAAATCTAATACAAAGCAGAGAAAAGTTACCACAACCATTTTGGACTTTAAATAAGCTAAGAAATAGGACTGAAAGCTGTAATTGATAAGCCAGTTTTAAAATACTATGTTAGACTTTAACAATATAGGGGTTTTAATGTTGCTGCTTTGTTGTCTGAAGGTAAATACAAGAATCGAATTACTCTTGCTGATTCACATCAACTGAGTACAAAAGGAACAGATGCCTTTGTGTGGGAGACAGGAGACAAACTGTCCCGTAGGAGAAGACAGGAAGAAAAAGAATAGAGGAGAGAAACACAGAAGAATCGTTATAAAAAGCTGAATACTTTTAATTGGAATTACTGAAAAAGACCTCTGAAAGAACGGCTGGGAACAGCTCTAGTAAGTACACACTATTGGAATGAAGTTTCTTTTTTTTTTAAATAAATACAAAAATTGGTAAAGTTTCTATCTGGAGTCAATTCATTACTGGTCTGAGCTTGCTGGAACTCGGACTCAAAGACCTCTCAGCTGCTCCTTTCACTTCTGAAATGACAGAAGTAAATTATTTCACTTCTTATACTACTCCTACTGTAGCTAGTGGATCTCTCTAACATGAAAGAAAGGAAAGGGTTACAGGTCATGTAATTTTTTATGTTCTCTCCTAGCCTGGTTATTTAGTCTTCTGCTACCTTGATTTGCCTATTTCAATCTTAATATATCTTCAATAAAGAATCAAATAACTTTGATTTGCAGTTTTTCTTATGTTTTTCTTCCTGATACGGCTGTTTGACACAAACATTAATGGACTTCTGGCTTATTTGCTCCATCTTAGACTCTTGCCTTTAACTGACACTAAAAGGAAAATCTGACACAGGAGAAACACCAATAAAGCAACAAAGCAAACCTTTGTGAACTCTACTGGTATTTTTTCTTTCACTCGTTCAATTTTTTGATATCCCATCCCTCTCGCCCAATCACACACACACATCTTTTATTGGCATTTCTAAACCAACCCTTTCTTTCTTGAGAAAAATGCATCTTACTTTTTGCTATTTTTTTCCCTTTGAAATATCCATTGATTTCCGGACTAGGCAGTTAAACGGAGAGATGACGCTACGGAGCATTAAGGTTAATGAACTACATTCTTTGGAACAAGAACAGTTTCCCTCCCCACAGCAGAAAATACTCATCTCATGGGGCAGAAAGGTATTTGTTCTTGCCTATTCTTCAGACAAGGGTGTACCTCATCCTTTACTGAGCTGAATGCACCTTCTAAAGACAGAGTACAGAGTTCTAACCTTACGGTAAGGTTCCATAAATCTTCCTGCCCCTCCAGATGAGGCTCTGCCAGTTTTCCATATGCTGAAATTTATCAGAGGAAGTTGTAATCTCCAAATTTTGTCTGAATGCTGTAAGACAGATCCCCCTCTTTGCTCTCCCTTCATATTTTTATTTTTCTCTTAAAAATCTGTTTGCTTTACAATTTTAAATGGAAGAGAAGGGCTAAGAAAAGGATGCACAGTGAGAAAAAACTAACCCACACCTGCTGTAATGTAATCCACTTTCTTCTGTTCCAGGAAATACCTGTCCCAATGGTAACCTCTTTGTAAATATAGAAAATACTGCTGTAAAGAACAGATTTTTTTTTCAAATCAGAAGCCGCTTTCTGTATTTGTCCCCAGTTCTATTTGATATCTAAAAAGACTGAAAGCAGGACAGAATTCAAGAAGATGGCATGAATTGAACTGCCATAGGTTTTGCTAGTACAGCTCCCCGAGGCAGATTTTGTGGGTGAAAAGAAGGTGTATAGGGATTAACCTCTACATCCCCAGGCAGAGCACTTGGTCTGCCTGCAATCTATCTGTACAGTGGGCAAGTCCCCACAGAAATGTGCCGAAGGAAACACCATGATAAATTAAATGTTTCATCTCTGTTCAGAAGCAACATCAGATCTGAGTCTTCATAATTTTTCTCAGGCTTTTCATCCAGCCAAGAGAGCACACATATTCCCTTCTAAAATTGAAAGTGATAAACGTGCAGCTCCAGAATGCTGAACTCTTGGAAGTGTTCATTACTCTTGCTCATTCAGCTGTGGTACACACTGTCTTCCCCCAGTGCAAGTCTCTGCATTTTCATCCTCTTGGTATGTTTTTAGCTTCATTGTGCTACAGACAATTAGATACAATAAACCTAATGAATGCAAAACCAGTGGTCTCTTTTAGGAAAATGAAGTGGTACTCTACCCATTTGAAAACTAAAAGGTAGCTTCTAAACTGAAAAAGTCAGGCCTGCTCTAGGCAATAAATAAACCACAACAGAACTATGCTCTGTCAATCCTAATCATCTAGGGAGAAAAGAGATGGGAGCTTATCTAAGAATACACAGGAATTCGCTTTCATTTTGTTATAAAAACATTCTGAATGGTACAACACACATATGTTGTTATAACTCCAGCTTGAAAAAGCCAAATCAAACCCAAAAGCTGTTTCTCATCAGTTGTGTGAGATGCTGGTGAAACAGCTGTCTGAAGCAATCTGGATTCAGTCTTAGAGAAAGCCACTGAGAATTACATAGTTAGAATTCCTCGCATAGGACTTATGAAGAAAAATCAATTCAATGGATCAAGCCAGTAGTAATATTATGCAGAATTTCAAGACTTATCTCAGTTTTCTTTTGTTAAAAAATACCCAATAAAACAAACAACAATCCAATGAATCAAAATGTGAGTCAGTTTTTGGGATATAGTCACAAGAAACAGAGCAAGACAGATTATCTCCTAGTCACCAACCCTAAGGTAGAGTCGTAATAAGAAATAAGGTAGAGTTCTAATAAGAAATTATACAAAGCGTGCAAGGCATTGTTACAAGAGTCATGCAAAAAACTACCAAATTGAAGAATGGCATACTAATGTCGAAAATAATGATTATTTGTTGGAAGACATTTTTCACAAGGAAAGAGCATATGCATTGTCAAAACAAAATCTTCAAACACAGACTCTGCTGAGCGCAATCAGGATGAGGACTGGAGATGGCTGTCCCATTCTGACTCTGTCAAGTCATGGAAATCTACAACTAGCTTCCTTACTACATTTTAAAAGGCCCAAAACACTTAAAGACCCTAAAAAGTATTATGAATGTTCAACATGCTACTGTTTACTATTGTAACTTGAATTATATATTATTTTAAAAGTACAGTTTAGTCACACTAGTTCTTGATATCTAGAATTACTACTGATTTGTGAAACTAAAAGACTACTTATATGACTTGAAATAGTTACTGTGCAAGTAGAAAACAACCAGTATACCTCACTTCTATTGCTACATGAATGACGTCCACTAAAAGAGACTTAAAAAGTTGAGTTTCCAGATCTGTACATTACTAGTAGTGTATTTTTGATCACATGAAATCATTGTAACCTACCTAGTATACATCTATTGCGTTGTGATCAAACCAGTAACAAAACCAAATGAATACATCAGTTAAAAAGTGTTTCACAGATACCAATGTCTCAAATTAAAATCTTTTGGATTTCATTCTTTTAGGGACAAACCAGAAGACCACCAAAATCAACAAGAATATTTCAACTGACTTTGAATCAGGATTTTATTGCAGACTAACAAAAAACCCCATGGCTATATAACCTCCCTTTAGATTAATGTCAGGTCAATCTTCTACAATATACAGATTTTGACAGCTATGTAAAGCAGGAATTGCTGTTTTGGGTTACTGATATCCATAACTATGCCAAAATACTCTGAGACAATGAAGACGATATAATGGTAGATTTAAACAAGTTGAATGTATGCAGTTTGGCATATTTCATAAACATTTTCTAGCTCTTCATCAAAAATGGAAAGGAAGACTACAGCTCCTATTTTTTTTTTTATTCCATACTGTATAACTTCCTAAAGAACCTGGTTTAGAATATGACTTCCAATACCAAAATACATTTACTGATAATCTACAGAATGTCTTTTGTTTGCAGGCTATTAGTGACCTATTAACAGCAAGTGTGTTGTCAGCCAGACATTAATTATAAACCTGTATTAATTCAAGATTCTGATCTAGAGGTCAACTCTTATTTTTCCAGGAATCTCTGCTGATCCTTGGAAGCCTAAGTGGAGTGTCAACATGAGACAAACATTAAACATCCACTTCATAATTTTTTTTTTAAAAGTAGTACAAAAAGATACACTTGTTACTGTGCTATGATACTGAGGCTCGTTTTAATTCATAATTTATAATCGATGAGGCTACAAAACCTGCAATCTACTATTGCAAAAATAACATACAAGAAAAAAAAAATGTACAAAAAAGCCTATGCCAGACATTACTTGAAATATAATTGTAATCAGAAAACTAAGAAAGCAGCCTTTTTAATAGGCATAACAGATATTGCAGTTGTGGGAAAATACGGAAAATTATCAATATATTAAAAAAGCTTCTTTAAGTATCTTCTGTCTATCCACAAAAATTTACAACCAGCAGTGAAATAATTTAAAAACCTCTTCAGCTCTTCCTGTAATAAAAACATACCTTCCTGAAAACTCTACCATGGCATAATCCTTTGCCCCACAAATAAAACTGTAGCATTACTGAAATTACGGGTTCAAATTACTACCGGTCACCAGCGAAAACCAATATTCTTTTATTTGTCCTTTCTTTATCACCTAAGTAGTAACTACGGGTCATATGAAATAATTTTTAGGTGGTACTGTATCAGCAGAAAATCTTGTTATTTTATTGCTGCATTTCTGGCTCCTGATGACAAGTCATAGGTCGCCAGGCAGACAAGTATCCATCTCAGTTGAACAAAGAGCTGAGACTTGGAGGGGCAGCAAGGGTAGGAGCGCTCCGAAGACAAAGGGTGTTTAGACTGATTTATCTCAAGAGTTAGAAACCTGGTACTGTATACTAATGTTTTCTATTACATCTACTTCAGTGACATCACTTCTCCCCTACCAGTGGAAACTGTTGTAAACCAGCTGTAAACTACTTATAGTTGTATGACGATTATAAAATACACATTGATAGGTATTCACCAGGGTATACAGTAAGAAAGCTTTAATTTACTGTATTTTTACTAGAGCACGGCGTGGTACATATAAAAGTTGGTACTGTGAATGCATTGCATACAATGTACTCCTACATAAGCAAAAAACATGAATGGGTTTGTTATCTAGGATCAGTTTTCTAACATTGTTTTACTCTCTAAATTATTCTTAAATTTCTTGATATAGAAAGAGAAATGCTGCTAGACATGACAGCTCTATTAACACCACATCCTAAAACACTAAACCACAGCTGTATTAATTCAGTATTTAAAATCTAGGTAGTATAAATAGGTGAGATTTTCTTTACAGAAGATGACATTTCAGGTAAATTAATTTAATTGTGAAGTTGAGCATTTTAAGTACTGAGGATCTCACCAAAATATGTATCACTTACACTTCTGAGCCTGGCATTAAACATTAGAAAAAACATCCTAATACATGTTGATTTCTCATACACGTAAGAAATCCTATTCTATGATTTCTGGAACCTTTTAAAAATCAAGCTGGCTAAGAATTCATTCCAGCTGCCTAATCACCTTAGCTTCAGCCTCAATTAGAGTGGAAATAGTTTTAGAGTACTTAATAATCATCTTCGTCGGAAAAGACGACTTTTTTCCCCCTAAAATATAGCACGAATGCAGTAGCTCTTTTACCATAAAGCCCTGTTTCCTGTGTCTTGATATTAGTCATTATTAGATGTTACTGAAAGATGTAATTTTAGATAAAAATATTTCAGGGTTGGGGTTTTTTCCTCCCCCTGTTGCTTTGAAGTCATTATTATTTGCTGTGTTGCTCTTACTGCCTTTTGACTATTGGTGCGGTCTAAGCAGAGGTGTTTCCTGATAGTCTTTAAGGTTTTTTTTTCTCCTGAATGGCTAATGTTTAATTTGGAATCCAAAATGCTTCAGAGCTTTTCAAACTTCTCATTTTTCATTTTGATGAATATAAACAGGGCTTTTTTTCAGTCAGGGATTTTGCTTCTTCATATTTAGTTTCCATTTCAGATATATAACATATTTTGAATACCATCACAAAACTCTTGACCAGCAGAGAGACTAGCCTTTTGCAGTGACAAAAACTGACTGGTTGCTTATTTTCTGGTTCTCACACAGCTTTCAATACCTACCTAAGAGGCTCTGATCAATACATGTTCCATTCACCAATGATTTTCCTTCTGGACAAGCACATGTTGCACCAGAAGGGTTGAGTAAACAAATGAATTCACATGTCAGGTCCAAGCATGGATTAGGCACTGTTTAAAAAGACAAAATATTAAAACCATTAATTTTTCTTAGAATTACACTATGTTCTATAACTAGGAAAAAAATAAATAATCAGATATCAAAATTCTGATTCACTTCCAGTTTCCAGGATATCAACAGCCTGGAGTCAGTGAACACACTCACTCAAATGGCAGTGCAAGACTCACACCAGGATATAATTTATTCCAGTAACAAAAAAAATCTATTGGCAATATCAGGTAAAAAACCCTCATCTGGTTGTGCCTAGAGGTATTAGTATTCAGCTCTCATCTATTTTTCTATACCTCATTTAGAGTGTGGGTACACAAAGCAATCATTTGTCCAATGTCCTTTCAAATGCAAGAAAATACATCAAAAAATCTCAATTAAACTTATAGAAAGAAATATGACGAAATCTATTTTCATTTTGCACAATCAGGCTGTTTTATATTGATATAACTTGGCGACTTCCCCTCACCCCCTGAGGTGAACTTGCTCAATATTGAGTTTAAAGTAATTATGCTTACTCACAGTCCATTTGTTTGTAGCGGTGAAAAACCAAGGCACTTTTTGCTTTATCAACATCCACACTCAGATACTCTACAAGGCTCCTGCCAAATTTGTGTACTCTAAATGCACCGTTTTTAGGACCTGCTCCATAGATGTAATCCTCAAAAATATCAATTCTATGTGGATGCAGCAAACCTTAAATAAAAATGAATAATAAATACAAATATATATTCATACACAAATAATAACCAACTTTATTTTATTAATAACTTCAATTGCATTATTGCAATTACCAGCTAAAAGACATTATTATTCAGACAGTTTTGCACCCACAAAGATTGCCTTTTAAAAAGCAATCTTCTTCAAAGGAACGCTTTCCATACAACTAGCAACTAAAATCTCTACCTTTGTATTAGCTTTCCACACAATTCAGCCTCAGAAACTAGTTGAACATTGAAAAGTAGAGAAATCCCCCAGTAACAAGTAGCTACTTAGAACATACTTAGGTACAACACTTTAACTGGAAGTATGTGACCAGAAAGAAACAGATTATTTTGCTGTACATAAAAGAAACCATTCTGACGAAACATTTCTTTAGCTCCTTCTTAACATATTTGAAATGCTAGCTTTCATACTACACTTATTTTATTTCATAATTACCGTAACTTAATGCAAAATAAAATGCTAAGACTCTACCAGTTCCTCGTTTTTAAGAGCTATGAGTGCTGATTAGATCACACAGTTGGATTGCCTAGGCACAACTGGCTGTAGAATTTCACACATTTACCCATGTAACAAGGCAATAGCTTCTGACTAAAACTCCTTCGCCAGAGATGCATCTCTTCTTGATATGAAACCACAAAGAAACAGAACGTTTCATTCCTTGTGACACCGTGTTCCTACTACTATCTCTGTTTACTGTAAACACAGTTTTATATTTCCTTGTATTTATTCAGTTTCAATCATCAGCCTTTATTTGTTCCTACTGTTTTTCCACTCTATCAATACATGGTACTCAGTATTTTATTTCAACAAAAATATTTGTGAGTTCTAATTCATTATTTTATGCTTTTTTAATGAAATGGATTGAAGTTTTTAGTCTCATTGCAAAGCAATTTCTAAAGTCCCCCCGTTTTCCTTCGGTCCTATTTCTCTAATTTTTCCACAGTTACTACAAACGTCATTAGGAGACAAAAGGTGTCATTGCTTTACTGATCTTGTATTTCAGTTTTAAATGCTACGTATGGAAGCGTTGCAGTGTCTATATTCCACTTTCTCCTTTATAAACCCCAAATTTGTTGCGTTTGGGGTTTATAAAATATAAACCGTGCTATAAAATATTTTGAAAATCATCAACTTACATGCCTTCTATTCTGTAGCACTGTTATGTCTTTTTTTTCCCTTGAAGACCAACCTCATATTTATTCTTAAAATACAAATGACTATTGAGACATATTAAAGCACAATCTAGAATACTCTGTAGTTTTTGTACCAGCCACAGGCACTAAGCTTAAGCACTGAGTATGTATTTTGTGAGATTTTTCCTAGTATCTTCCAGAACCCCGTGGCGAATTCCACTTCGTTGGTTAAAACACTCAGTAGCACTAGCTGTAATATCATCCTGATGAAAACTCCATTACCAACTGCCCACTAAGCAATCCCTCCCAGGAAGCTTGCTTTCAAATTCTTGCATTTTTTTAATGTTTCCTCTCTTTTCTACTCAAATTTCATATATTGTTACATACATTATCAAATTGTTAAAAAGCCAACATGCAATTCTATAAAAACAAAGTTTAAGCAAAATCTCTTTCCTTGTGAAAGGAACTTTTCTCATTCACATTCTGTTAGCAGAATTCTGTGACTACTTACTGACCTGAAAGCCAAATCCATTATTTTCCCCAGAACTGATTCAGATCAACTGTTCTATAAACTATACAATTCCTGTGCAATGCAGACATCTCTAATTTCTATGTAGTCAAGGTCCTCCTGTTGCTATGCAAGTCCAAATGAGCCCAAGCATAAATATTAATCACAATGTTACTTGATGATACTCAAGCTAATAATTAGATAACAGTCTTGGAGATTTGCACATATCACTGAATCTTTGTTCCCCTACGGTGACTTTATCCGATTATCTTAAAGTTAAAATTGTCTTAAATTATCTTAAATATCTATTTATGTAGATAACAACTGAAGTATTATCTAACAAAAACAATGAATATTACTTAACAATCACTGGTTTTGCTTACATAGTTTCTCTGAATAATGAAACTTCAGCCAAATAAAAAAAAATAGAAATTGTTATAAAAAAGTTCTCCGTACCTTGTTTAGTGCTCACAGACACAACTGAATCAGAACCATCAAAAAGAACGCTGCCAATAACAGATAATTCAAAATCAGCCCAGAACAAACGCTGACTGAACTGATCAACTACGAGACCTACAAAGAAAATAAAGTTCAAACTGGTGTATAAAACCTGAAAAAAAATAACATTTTTATGTAAATGTAAGTTTTTATACCGTTCCTATTCTTGTGAACACAAAATATGGTGACATTGAAAAAAACATGACTGGAAACGGAGGAGAATAAAATATAACACCTTCCGCTTAAACCTTCCCCTTGAGGCAACCATGGATTTTTACTTTAACTTTCTCTACCAAGGTCAGTACCTTTTCAAACCCATTATCATTATACCAGGTGGGAATTAAATATAGAATCTAATCCTGTAATTTGCTCTACCAACAAATAGTCTCTTATGTCAATAGATTTCTAAGCAGTAGCACCAGTGTGACCATGCGTTAAAAACAAGGCATGCAGATTTCATAGAGCCCTCCTAACCTATCCTGTTTCCACAAGCATATAATCATGTTCTTTCTTTTTGTTATCACCAATACCACACAGGTAGTAATTATTACGGAACTAAAAATCAGATTATTCTAATTAAATGAGTGTTGCGTGACTTAAATAGCAATATTGACAGATATTACATATATACACATATATGAGAAGTAAGCAAAAGAGCGACTACCCAGCCTCTAGGCAATAACTAAATAGTTAAATCAAGCAGTCCCATATGTCACTAGAGGATGATTAAATGATTAATATGGCATTTTAGGTCATGCCAAAAGCTCTGGCCTGAAAAAAAAATATTTGAACCATAAAATAGTTTAATTCTGAGCTTTTGAAGTTGTGGTGTATTTTTAATAAGAATGAGAAAAAAGTATTTTTCTTCCTAGTTGTGTAAGTAGGTAAGTCAGAAAAAATACATCAAAAGAAATTATACAGAACAGCAAAAATTCTCCTCTTAAGGTCATAAATTAATCAGCTACAGATAGATGAGAGGAAGTGGAGGAAGTCTGACGCATAGATCAGTGAAATATGTTTACATTTGCAACTCCATTAGAAAAATCATCTTTAAAAAAACCACACTGGTATTCAGGCATAGAGCTAAAGAGAATAATTTCTGGTAAAAGGTAATCACAATGTGTAAACTAGGTGTGACACATGATACCTTTAAGGGTGAATATTTTAGGAGCAGTCTCCAGCTTAGAGCTTTAAGTTATTTGCATTTTAATACGAATATTTAAATACCAAATAATAAATAAATAATATTCTCAATATATCTGTCACAGTATCAGAGATAACATAATGTAAAAAAGTTCTTATTTTTGTTTTATACATATAGCACTCCTGTGATAGTAATTTTTACGTAAATCCTTTGAAGTCAAGCCCAAATACTCAAACTCTCTCTCTCGCTCTTACTTGAAAGAGAAAAGGCATATTTAGGAATAAATTTAAGAGCCGTGGAACACAGATGTTTAGTAAAATCTTAAACTTCATCTAAACAATAGTAGCAAAGTCCCATTTGGAAGGAAAAATTAAAGGCTTGGATGCTTTCTATGCATTCCCTCTACAAAGACATGGATCTGTGTGAAATATCTGATAAAAAATTAAAAGACACCCTAAATGTCTACTTTCTACGGTGAAGTAAAGGAAGAAAAGCACAGAAGAATGCCACAAAAGTGTTTTCAGGCAGTAAGTACAGGAAAACACAACATTATGGAAAGGCATTTGTGAAATTTCCTCTTTGCAAAGTCTGTTCATTTTTGCTAATTCCACTAATTTTCTTAATTTTCATTTTATTCATCCTTGTAAGGAGACAGAGGTCTGGTTAAATTTTTATATGAAACTTTTCTATATAAAATATATCAAATAAAATTTTATGAAGAAAAGCTCTTGCAGTTCTGCTTCTGGTCAGGGAAGAAGTAAGTACTTGCATATTCAGATAAGGTTGATACCATTACTACCTACGAAATTCAATAATTTCACTAATCTAATATTGATGGCCAAAACCAGGAAAAAAAAAAAGGGGTTAAATGGCTTTTAATGACCAAGGAAGTGGTGACTGGCTCCATAAGACACAACCTTGGCAATCAACTAGGCCGCTAATAAAGAGACAAAAAAGCACAATTCCAGGAATTAGAACTAAATCTAATGATTTGTATATCTGATATGTTCACAATGTTTTATATAAGATGTTCAGCAAAGAACAAGTAACAACACTGATAAACATAAAATACTGTTTTCAGTCTGAATAATCAGAAGCTTCTTACTGAATTTACTACTGACTACGTATTTTTTTATTTATTACTACTGTGCTTCTTACTTACCTAAGGAGCATAAGCTTCCTCTCCTCGACGCTTTCCTTATCACATATGTAATTTCTTAAGTTGCTATATTTCAATCTAATCATGTCAATAAAGAGTGTTTCCTTTAAGGGATTAGTGTAATTTGCATATGCGACACCATAAGCCCACCTTAGCATGGGACTTAACAGTCTGTTAAAATATTATTACTTGTTGCTGTGATAGTGGCAGCTTCTTAGATGCTTAGATATTCAGATAGCATCCTCTTGAAAGAAGCCTATGTTTCAATAGATATGTGTACCACAGTTGGACAACCCCTAATTTGCAATGCAATAACAACAAATTATCATCGTAAGCCTGGAGAAACATCAAATATTGCGTGAGAAAATGGGTCATGAACAAATCATTTGTGGTTTCAAGACGAGATGCTGCTATTTAAGACAGACACATTTCATTCTGGATTCATCATTTCCTTTGTCATAAAAATTATTTTTATCCTGCCAATGGAGTCTTAATGGTAATTCACAAGATCTCAACATTTACTATCAAGCTTCAAAATAGTTCTGCAAAATACTGAGATAATTAAGTTGTTGTTTCTTTGAATACTTAAAACCTTGTTTTATACTATTTTGCAATGTATTCGGGAAAATAACTAGAACAGGCTGTGAGATTTCATATGCATTCTTAAAAAATGTGTCTCACCACTAACTGGTGCTCCCTTAATTGATTTTGCTTGTTCAGTATTATTGAACACATCATATATTAACAGTCCTTTGATACTGCTTCCTAAAATCATCATGTTAAGCTTCATTACAAAAGTTTGCGTCATATTAAAATGTATCATTTGAAAACAGAATTAGGAATTTTGTTTAGTAGCTGCATATGAATAACCAGAATACATATTTTTTAAAGAATATAATTTTTTTTTTTTCAAACTGAGAAACTGGAATTCAGCCAACAAATCTACACTGAGTTAACAAGTACCATGCAATTAGGAAAAATGGGTAAGCTGTATACCTGTAGGTCTTTGTAAATTCTTTTGAACCAATATCCTTCTCAGAGTACCATCCATAGATGATTCCTCTATGTGAGAGCGATCCCCAATAACTGTCCAGTACATCATCCTAAAATATTTAACATAAAAAAAATAAGCTGCGTGCCTATACAGAACCTCAAAACACTTCATTGGTATTAAATTATTGTGAACTTTCCAATCTACCTGAAAGATGGGAGATAACTGATCTTGATTTACATACAAGTAAATTGAGCAGGAAAGTTCAGTAAATGACTTGGAAAAGTTTAGACATTTGACATAATTTTATTTCTCTTACTCTACTTCGCATTTTTGTTTGAATTACCAAAACAGAGTAATGTTGAAACATACGTACCCTTTTTTAGGATTTACAGCAATTGCATATGGTTCTCCTGCCATGCTCGTAAGTAGTCTTGTACAGTTAGGTCCATTCAACTGACCTACATTGATGGAGTATCTCAGACTAGTCCAATGAGTTGTATAGTAGCTGAACCAATGCATTCTGGAATGATCAGTCCAATAAATATTTCCAGCAACCCAGTCAACAGCAATGCCCCGAGGTCTTTTGAATTCTGGACACTAAAAGGAACAGATGTTAAAGTCAGATTTACAGAAATCACCTTATACAGCAGCTGCATAGTCACAGATTTATGTAACTTTATACAGTTAAATAACTTTCACCTTTAATATGGTGAAAGATATAAAAACACTGCATTGGAAAGACATAAACTCCACCTGTAGGTGATAAGCTCCAAGTGATCTGCTGGCAGTTCTATTCAACGTAGAACAATTGTCAATGATTCAAAACTGTTTTCTCAAGTCTAAGGCTACTTACATTAATAAAAAGGCACTTAGGCATGAACTACTTGAACTATTGACACTGAGGCAAATAAATGTTACATACTGTAATTCAAAAAGAAAGGAAAAGGAAGAATTAAGATTATACAGCTATTATAGTCCATGCAGAACTATGGTATGATGTCCCACCCCAAAGCGCTCAGTGAAAATGGTGCTCGAGACCATCCTGAGGTACGGCTGCTCAGTAATACCACTGCATTTACAAAACTGCATAAAATTACCTCTGTATTGTGACCAGGAATAGCCTGCAATTGTAAAGAAATTTTTAAAGTGTTTCTCTGCTCTTGCTATTAACTGCTCCTGTGTTCCACCACTGATTAAAACTAGAATTAGTGTAATATTCAGTTTCACATGTAAAAGAGGCTTGACTGATTATAACTTTAAAATATATAAACTGTAGTATCTCTACCGTGATTTCACAGATGTCAGTAAGGCCTAGTTCCTAAAAAATGCTCCTAAGTATAGATGTTCATATTGCAAATAGGAGACATATATTAACAAGTTTCTCTAAAGTTTACTAGAATTCCTACAAAGAGGAGTAAAATCTGCAAAATAGGACTACCCATCTATTTCAAACATGAATGCAGCATATCATAAAAAATTCAAGGCCCACATGATCTAAATACATATGCAATTGTTTGTCTGTTTATCTATAAAGACATCAAGTTAAATTATGGGGGAAAAAAAAACAAAAGTCTGTTCCTTGACAAATGCAGTGATGGAATGCTACTAAACTACGTAACTAAAAATCAGGAAAGAAAATCCTAAAATAACTTGTTTTCCTCAGGTGTCAGTGTTCCTCAAAACCACAAGACATTTGTAGACTATTTTCATCATAAAATAAAGGTCATTTCATTCTCCAGGTGAAATAATAGGATTGCAAGGGTGAATTTAGATAGTTCATAATTCATAAACCTTTCGTTCTGCAAAAATATCATAGAATGCATGTTCTAAAGATATACAGAACCCTGACTTTCTATTTAGATGAGCATTAAAGCAGCAAAATCAATCACTGCATTTACAAAACAGTATTTTGTTAAAAACAGTTAAAAACAAGGTCACAGTAATTTTTTTACAGTTAAAAAATTTATGTATCATAATTCTTTGTTATAAAATGATGATATTGGCAGCATATGCTTCCAGAAATACAACAAAAATAACCTATCATTTTTCATGAAATGTAGCATTTGCATGCAACAATCTGTGGGTTTTTGCTACATTATGCAAGCAACATTCACCTAAAAGACAGGATACCTAAAAATGTGCGTATTTGCTGATAAACGCCACTGTATTTTTAATCCCAACTTCTCTTAATTCTGGGTAATAGTCAGGCACTGGTGTCAAGAAGCCTCTCATACCTGGAGATCTCCAGTTACTACTTTAGAGACTGCCAGGGCTAATGGCACTGGCCTACAAGACTGGAACCAAATATTCTTTTAAAAGGAGAGCAGCTATCATGGATAGCACAGTCCCTTGTCTTTCTTCAGACTGTTCAAGAACTGTAAAACAGCTTTTTTTGGAACCTGTAAGCACATCATGTGAGTTACTAGCAGAGTGAGAGAAGATTCCCAAAAAGCTGGTAGTAGAAGTAAAAGAGACAATGGGATGTTCCAAAAAGTTTCTGGAACAAGGCTGGGTTGCTTACTAACACTGACCCTTTCTCATTCTTCTCAACTACACAGAAGTGAAATTCCAGTAATGCTGGGGCACATATTAAAGATCAAATGAACAAGGAGATAACCAGCAGAAATTGAAAGCAGCCATCTGGTGTAAGAGATTAAAAAAAGAGAATCAAAACCACTAGCTGATGCTACGGCCATGTAATTCTCAGTTGTGTTCATTAACTTTCAGCCTAGCTACATCATATTTCTGATGTCTTATGCATCTTCTCATATTGTCTAGTAAAATTACTTACTGTAAATGAGTTTTTACCTAATAGCTTATTTGGATTATGTTAATTTGGAAGAATGATTTTGCATACAGAATAAGGATGAAAATACAGGAACAAAATCACGTTAATATTTTCTGCAGTTACTTTAACCCTCTTTGATGCTAAATATAATGCACTACAACTTCTTAGAAAAATTAGGATTTGAAGCCTAATCTCCTTTTATAGGATGGTAGTCTCTGCACAGCTACAGACCATGTCAGCTTGATGACTTTTGATTAGAACTGCTGCCTGTCATAAAAGCTATTTTAAAGGTAAAGAATTAAAAAAACAGAAAAGGGGGGCAGAAAGAAGCTGCATTAACAGGTTAGATTTGGAAACCATTTTGATATAATGGTAGATTACAGAAAAATTTTCAACCCCTAAGGTTAAGTTTAACTGGAAAAAATATATGTTACATATGCAGCAGGAACCCATCACCTTGCAATGCTTAGCATTGTAACACAGGAAGATTAAATTACAAATCTAATTTATATCGTAAGCACAGGCGACGTAATATTTTCTATTTACATTACAGATGGTTTTGGTATGGCATTTCTGTGGAATAAAGTAAACTAATGATTTATTGTTGCTTAAAGTGTCTTCATTAAAAAGAATACATTATCTAATGATATATTATTATAACAGTAAAAATACATGAGAAACACTAAAACTAGAAAACTTTTGGACTTTTACTTGCTGAAACAGGAAATTTTCCTCAAAAGCCCAGTATTTGTAATGTGTCACCATACCACCATTTGTATTACATAAGTAGGAACATTTAAAAATCCCAACCAGATCATTCCTGAAAGAGAGGGTCTCCTAAGTGCATAAACATCATCCATACAGAGCTATAGCTTTAATTTAAAACCATAAATTAATGCTACTACCTTTAAGAACAGTAAAAACATTTTTATGATAAGCACAACAAAAAAAAGAAGCAGAAAACCTGTTGGAAGCATATTGTTTGAATCAGTGAACAGCTGAAGGGAGCAGCGCAGATGTTCCTTAAATATTCCTTGGGCCTGAATACTTGCTATCATCAGCGAGAACTCATATAGGAGCTCTCCTGTAATAATGGTATCATGGTGTGTACCTAGACATCCCAAAGCCTGGAGCTGAGCAGGAAATGCTTAAAAATATCATCTCTTTGTCCTTGGAAAACATATTTTCCGTAATTAACACAGCATGAGGCAAAAAAGACCCAGGTTGGTTAGATTAACAGAATAAAACAGAATAAAAAGTGACAGAAAATATTTCTAAGGGTAACCTGGAAAATGTTTGTAAACCCAACCTTACATTTTATAGATTTCAAACTACTACATTTTATAGATTTCAAATACTAAATTGCCTACCTAATTCACATAGTATGTATAAACAGAACATATTTAAGCTATGATCTATTTTAGCTGAGGTTGGCAGAAACCATAACATTTTGGTCATCTCTTATAAGGCATAGTTTTCAAATATGAAACCTCATAATTTTAGTAAATGAGAGATATTGGGTTCTCATATTTTGCAAAAAAAAAAAAAAAGTGTATTTAGAGAAAATAATCTAGAAATTGTTTCCATTCACGGTGATGCACTGAATCAGTGCTTGACAGACTTGAGAGGTGGACCCATGCAAGCCTCATGGAGTTCAACAAGGCCAAGTGCAAGCTCCTGCATCTGGGTCGGGGCAATCCCAAGCACAACTACAGGCTGGGTGGAGAATGGACTGAAAGCAGCCCTGAGGAGAAGGACTTGGGTGCTGGTTGATGAAAAGCTAAACATGAGCCAGCAATGTACGCTTGCAGCCCAGAAAGCCAACTCTATCCAGGCTGCATCAAAAGAGGTGTGACCAGCAGGTCAAGGGAGGTTATTCTCCCCACCTACTTCACTCTCGTGAGACCCCACCTGGAGTAAGTACTGCATCCAGCTCTGGGGTCACTAGGACGAGGACATGGAGCTGTTGGAGCAAGTCCAGAGGAGGCCATGAAGATGCTCAGAGGGCTGGAGCACCTCTACTATGAAGACAGGCTGAGACAGTAGGGGTTGTTCAGCCTGGAGAAGAGAAGATTCCAGGGAGACCTTATAGCACATTCCAGTACCTAAAGGGGCTACAGGAAAGCTGGAGAGGGACTGGTTACAAGGGCATGTGGTGACAGGACAAGGGGTAATGGGTTTAAGCTGAAGGAGGGGAAATTTAGATGAGATCTGAGAAAGAAACTCTTCCCTGTGAGGGTGGTGAGGCCCTGGCACAGGTTGCCCAGAGAAGCTGTGGCTGCCCCTGGCTCCCTGGCAGTGTTCAAGGCCAGGTTGGATGGGGCTTTGGGCAACCTGGGCTAGTGGAGGGTGTCCCTGCCCATTGCCGGGGGGTTGTAACCAGATGGGCTTTGAGGTCCCTTCCAACCCAGACCATTCTGTGATTCTATGAACTTCACTGGGCCCCAGGGCAAGTGGGAGTATATATGTGGATATATCACAAGAGTGGTTAAGAGTCCTTGTTAAGCTCTCAGAACAGTGGGGTTGGAGCAAGCTGCTAATATACTGACTGGATAAATTACAAAACCTATGTTTTTCTTCCTATTATATGGTACAATTATTTTAATGCTCAGCTTTGTGTCCTCTTCCATGAAAAACAGCACTTGAGTTTAAGTGGCAAGTCACTCTGTGTTGAATATTCACCTCAGATAACTTACACATCTCTCTCAAAGGATTATGCCAGTAAACAGCTGCACCAGTTATCACCAATTCACTTATACAATCTTAACTCGATTGGAATGCAATCCTCTTCTGCATCTGTCAATAAACTCTGAAGAGTTGATATTTACTATTTCCTTTAATGCTTCAATTTGTACCAAGCTTAAACCCCTTTTCACAGAAAAATACAAGAGATACTTAAAGCTATTCTCTGAGGAAGGCTCTTGATATGCTAATTCTGTGGAGCAATTTCAGTGGAGATGGATTTTTGCATTAATGTAATTACCTGAAAATGCAGGTGACTTTGTTCAAGTTTACTGTCCTGATTTACATATCAAAGTCTAGATATAAAACTTGTAATGTAACCTCTGAAAACTTACCCATTAAAAAACTTAGGTTAAAATTAAGGAATTCTCAAGCTTTTCAAAACCAAATTTAAGTGACAATATTAAAGCAACACTACAAAACCAATTACCCTACTGATCAGTTATATATAAGGCCATAATATTTGAGTATTAATGAGATAATGCTCTGGGAAAATATTCTGAATAGGTTAGTACAATGAGAAGTAAACGCTTCACAAATATAAATAAAGTATGTCCAAGAAATATTCACATACACTCAGGCTGTGCATTTTCCACATACAGATTTGTAAAAAAGCTTTGTATGGCTTGGATAAAACATCTTCAAGAACACGTACTTGCACTGAAAATTTAGGGGAAAATGGTGTATAAAGAAAAACATAATTTTTTCAATAATCTTGAATTAAGAGGAAGTGACTAGAAAATAGTCTTGTATAATGGTGAAACTGAGATACAAAAAGTGAAAAGGATTTGATTCCCAAGCATTTGAAATTCATGCCTTTCTTGAAACCATTTATGGTGTTTCTTATATGCATCTGTTATATCCTCTCTTTTCTCTCTTAAATAAAAGATCTCGATAGTATACAAACTTTCCAAGCCTCTAGCATACTGGTTAGTTGTAGAAAACTTTTTTAAATACTAGAGTTGTGTTCTCTTAGCGACTCGATCAAGTTTGTCAGAGTCTTTAACGGAAAGGCATTAGTAGACATATATGCCATTTGAATCAAATGATTCTCAGACATTTTAATTTACTAAATCAGCACATATTATTATAGACAATCAAAACAGAAAAGTAAATAAAAAAAATTTGTAGCATGTAATCTTTGATTTTGATCACTTACTATCAAGCCACTGTTACTTTGCCTTCTCTCTCTGTCGTGAAGTTTTCTGTAGAAAATCCCTCCTGGATTAAACTGAGTACTCCAAACAATCATGTCCCCTTGAAAATATGCATCCATTCCAGTTATCCTTGAATTATGTTCAATATGTGATATTTGCTGATGAACATCACTGTAGTTGAATGGATATGCAAAACCCAGGATGTCAGTGTCATTAGCAACATAGAGAACTTGATCTTCAGAGCCTAGGGATTATGATAATGAAACAAAAATAAGGTAAATGTCAACTAATGCAAAATCAGTATTTTTCACTCAAGTAGTTTTTTGGTGTTTATCTGATGTAATTTCTTATGTTAAAATTATTTTCTGATTGTTGAAGACTGTGAAAAACATCACACTCTAGGTAATAAATGTGCCTCTTCATACTCTGATGCCGACATACATTACTTCAATGCTCTCCAAGCTCACCTTGTGACACCTAAGGCTATATTTTAAGGAGTATGCAACATAAGAATTTGAACACTTTAAGCAGTATACAAAAATAGGGGATATTATGCGCTAAAGTCCATATGATTCGCTACATATTTTATATGCGTGTTGCGTCTAGAGGTCCAAAATGTATATATTAAAGGAACACAAATTTGCCAGTAAGTATTATTTTAAATTGCTTAATTGGAAATCAGAAGTGGATTGATCGTATCTTTAGTGAAGGCAATGAAGTTTTGAAATTGACTGCAACATAAGCAAACTGGACTAAAGCTGCTACAGAACATATGCAGTTCTGCCTTATATCTCCTCATTTCACATAGTGAACATTTATGGATACCTGTGAATGGGTGGTAGTTATGGATACTTAGTTACCGTCTTGATTCAGATGTTGTAAAATATGTTATTCACAAGAAAATGCTCTCTGGTAACTATTCATTAAGTTTTGAAAAAGTTTCAAATTTGCTGGATACATTAGAATGCATTTGCAATTTTTTAGTTTTCCAATTTATATCACATTTATCCATAGAGAATCAACTTATAATAGTGTCTCTCCAACACTTTTCCTCCTTTTGAGTATGAAATACCAAAAATCATTTGTTCCCTCACTCCTGCTAAATACAAGAAAGAGGAGTTCCATTAAAGCAAATATCAGTGGGGGAAAGAGGGAACCATTAACTGTATTACAATGGAAATGAAGGTCACAAAAAATGCAGATGTAGGAAAATGACTCCCAGATTTTTAAATTATAAACCCTCAGAATTGTGTCTGTGTTTCTATAGTAACAAGCCACTATCCTCAATTAGTAACCTTGTTTATTCCCGTGTCATAATCTGACTGATTCTTCAGTAATAGGCAATGATGCTAAATCCTGATAGAGTCTGTGTTATGTATAGAGAAAATTACTAATGACTCATTAATATGATGCTCCCATGGTAAGTTTGCTTCAAGAAAATGTGAACAAAGCACCTCTAGCTACCTAGCATGGGTCCAACCTTCACTACTGACTGCTATGGTACAAAGAAGGAAGAACTGGAATTAACATGATACAATCTGTTCTGGTTCTAGGACGTACTCCCACAACGCGTGCTTACTGGCCATAAGATTGCTCATAGCTGTGCGTAGGTATACGTGAAATGAACACCAAAATCTCACTAAATTTCATGTAACACGTTAGGATCACACTTTCAGTTATTCATATACAGATCCACAAAGATTACATATTGTCTTTACTCCAGCAGCTGGATTATTGCTTGTTTCATTTCTAAAATGATTTTAAAATTACATAATACCCAGACTTAACTATTACCTCCGTTTCGTGCAATACCTCTGCCTTATGAGCACTAACGCCTGTGTGCGCATATTTCTTTAGCTTCACCAGACCATGATCTAGGCAGATGACTGATATGAGTATATTCTTAGGTGATTATACTTAGAAAAACTCCCCTTAAATGACTTACATAAGATTTCTCCACAAGACAGAGCAAAACATGTTAACTCCAAATACTACTTAATTTATTCCTAAAGCTCTAAAACATGTTTCTGTGAAAGAGCTGATTCTTCTCTCAAGCTTCTAAAGCTTCACCAGAATGCTCAGATGCTTGCTAATATATAATCTCTGTTTTCTTTATTTGTGTATATATTTTTGTAAATGGAGAAAGCTGAAGTTGGAAATGGACTTTCATATTAAGTATGTTCATTTACACAGAAGTGATAAGAAGTTACTGCTTACTGAAATGAAAGGTAAATCTGAGTGGTTTTGAGAATTATTTCTGTGCACTATTCAAGAAATATTTATCTAAAAATAAACTGTATATGCAACACATTGGTGTTACTACCCGTGTGCATAACAAATGATTTAGTACTGTCAATCTATTTTGATTTTTATAGCCTTACCTTTTGCTAGGCAACTGTTATTCCTCTCCTTATAATTTTTCTCGCATGCACATTTGTATGACCCCTTAATATTATTGCAGTGTTGGGAGCAGGCACCAAATATCATACACTCATTGATATCTATGAGGAAAAGAATTGTAATTCATATACCTATAGTTTAATACATTATTATTTAACACATTTGGAACACCATGGAACAAAGCAGATGAACAAAAGGAACTCACAAGCATTGGTATATCTTGCAACAGTAAAAGGAAGCCTTTTGTGATTATCACTGATGTTATACCTGCTGCAATCAACATATCTCAGAAAAATAATTTATATTATTTCTCCATCCCTCTTATAACAATCTATTATCATTAGAGCTTGAAATCAACTTTGAGAATGAAAATGTCTGTTACAGTTATCTCCAACATACCTATCTCTGCTACAGTCAAAACTACATGGTCACCCCTTACTGGAAAACCTCCTGTGTAGACCTTTTTCTTAAGAGCCAAACAATGAAGTCTTTGCAAGTATCTATTCACTTTGATAGTCCCACTGAGGTGATCTCCACTTTTTCTGCAAGTTACTGCTCACCAGCAAGAAAAAGAATTCACAATCTATTCTTTGGGAAGGTAGATTTATCTTACCTTATAGATCAACTCTTTCATTATAACGATTATGTCTTTCTTTCTGACCAGTGTGGCATCATATATATTAAGACTACATTTTCTAAGGTATTTTACTTTCAATTTGTTTATTTTCATTTCTATTTTAAGTTTTATGCATCTATATTATTTTAAGCATCTCAAAATAGTCTCATATACCAATTTAAACACCAATCCTGTTTGCTCAGTTAAATAATCTACTAGACTTTAAATCACCCATTTAACCCTTAACTTATAAAATCATTTAAAGGCCATACCCGAACCTTTTAACATTCACAACCAATGTTAATCTTTGATAAACTTTCCAGGTAAAATGCATAAATCTACATCCTGTAAATCCTTTTCGTTTCTTCTCTTGATTTCTTAATCCATAGCTCTGAAACATTTTTTACTCTGCAGAAAAAAGTATGTGATACGTATATCCTTCTCCAGCATAGAAAATTGACTACACAGTTGACTTTTAGTACTTTACAGCAAGGGATGATGGAAAAGATCTCAACCTTCACATTGTCTATTCCCCTTGTTTCTCTGAAATCCAGGTTTACACTGACACAGTAGGGATGTTTCTGTTTGATTACAGTATGCATCATCTCCACAAGGATTCACATTATCTTCACATGTATATTCAGCTACACCTAAACATAAACAAAATGTATAAACAAACCCCTGACAGATTTGTTAAAAATGAGATCTAAAGTAACAAAAAATAATATCACAAATTTATCTGTTAAAAGAATATCAAGGTAAATTTTAAACAAATATACGACACTAAAATATTTACCTACATATGCATATAAATGGACACTAATTGAGATACTTTATTTCACATCAAGAATTTAATATTAAAATTTATCTTGCTGCAGATAAGAAATAAAATGCAATCACCATGTAGCTGAACTACTTCAAAAACTCAAGAATTACTCTAAAAACTACCACAACCTGAACTGCTATAAAATTTGCTTTCCTCTTGTGGTATGTCAAATAGAATTAAATTCTTAACTCACCCCCACCCCCCACCCCACCCCCCCCCCCCCCCCCCCCCCCCCCAAAATTTAAGTTTCACTAAATTCTGTGTTGTTGAATAGGTTTTGCATGGATGAAAGTCTTAAATTATTTCTTATTTGCTACAATCATGAAAACATATCTTCTCAGCCAAACTCACTTATTTTGCAGTCTTGCTCATCTGAACCATCTCCACAGTCATCAAACCAATCGCACTGTAGCTCCATTGGAATACATTTCTTATCGTTACAAGCAAACTCATCTTTTTTACATGGTCTTGCTTTATATGTGATTTTATCTATATAATTACAAATTAATAAGAGAAAAAGAAATCAGTATTTAAGATTCTTAGATTATTTTAGACACGTACAAATGGGAATGACCATGAAGCATTAAGCAATTGGAAATTATTTCAAGCTTAATTTCTTTCAATTTCAAACTATGATCTACTAACCTCCAGTTAAGCTTTACTGAAGGACAAGCAGATCTCTGTAACAAAGTTTGCCTTCAAGTTGTTTTCTTTGATCTGAATGCCTTGAAAGGTAATATCACCTACCGCAGTGATCTTCATCCGAGTTATCACCACAGTCATCGACCTCATTGCAAATCTGCTCAGGTCGCAGACAAACCCTGTTGTTTCTACATCTGTATGGCCTTGTCGGAGGGCATGGAAACTTTACTGTGTATTAAAAAAAAGAAGCAGCTATTACCCAGCTAGTATTCTTGAACCTTCTTTAATGTCTTCTTATCAAAGCAATAAGCAGGCATGGGAACACAGCTGTACTTGACATATGAATGGTACTTGATTTTAACTTCTGGTATCTAATGGAATAACACTTGAACAATGTTTACAGTATAAGTTTTTCATTTAGGGAATGAAATTATTCTGTGTGATAAGGGTAATTACACCTCTTTTTGAGAATCAGTAAATATGACAGAAATAAAATAAAGTAGGAAGTATAATGATGATCAATACTTCAATGTAGAAGAAACTTTTTCCCATCTGTGCATTTCCTACGGAAAGATTAATTTTTTACAAATATCTGATCTGAAATTATATGAATAGCAATAACAACAGAAAACTATATCCCACATTTCAAGCTAATCTTTTAACAGTCAAATTAAGAAAATGCGTATGTCCTTATACATTTATGTATGCTACATGTCATTTCTTGCTTTATTACGGGAAAAGCACTGAAAAATTTAATGTCATACCACACATTTCAGCAACTTCATCAGAATTATCTCCACAGTCATCCTCGCCGTCACAAACCCAAAAATGTAGTTTGCAGAGGGAATTGTTGCACAAAAATTCATCAGCTCTACATATATTTCCTCCTGGAAGGATGAAGACAGAAAAAAACCAGGAAAACAGAGAGACAAAAGAAAGTCAATTCTTGATAAAACCAGTGCAACCACTTATCACATACTGTCTGCAGAGAATGACGCATGTAGCATAACTAAATGAACAAATCCCAAATGAAAGGCTTGGAGAGACAGAGAGAAATACTCATTTAAACATCTCTTCCTTGACCATACACTTCTTTGATTTTCTGTTCATGACTGTTAGCTAGGAATTACCTCGCTGGCCTGACTAGAAAGGAAGACACTGACAACTCACCAGCTAGACATGTTCCCCTTGCATTTAGCCAGGAGATGCTTAAACGGTCCTTGTGTCTGTAACTTCCTTTGGTGATGCTGCCTTTCAGAAAAGACCTGGCTGGGTACATCAATAATTTGTGCTATCAAAGAACGGGACAAACCGGAAGACCCAAATACAGTCAAACGTATGAAAGGCCACTTCAGTCCAGGTTTGTTTCACACAAATGTCTGATCCTCCACCTATTCTTACTCCCACTCTCCGAGCCACACATTGCGTTCAGAAGAGACAAACTGATTGTAGTCCCTTAGCCAAGAGGTAGCATCTTTTTCTTCTCCTGAGGAGTAAGACGTTTGGCCAGGCTTGTAACATCCCCATTAACTAAAAACTCTAATTAGGGAAGATCTAGCCACGTAGGCACAGAGTAGAAAAGACTAAGTGACCTCTAACAGTTTCTTCCTTTTTGTAACTCCTGAAATTTCTCATTATGGCATTTCCTGAACATGGATGCAGCAAGAATAAATTCTTCCGTGTATCCTCAGTATTGACTGAACTCTGAATCATCTAACGAAATGGAACAGAGGGTGAGAGACAGTGTTTTAAGCTGGAGTGCTCAAGCTTTAAAAATTGGTTCAAGTTGGATTCAGTTTTAATACGTGTAGCAGCAAGAATGCGTTTTGTTTCAAAATTATGACTAAATTTTACCACTACCAATCAACAAAGTTATGGAAACTTCTTGAAATATAACACATTTTTATGGTAACTGGAATTCCAGTTTCCTGAGAGGAGTAGAGTGTAAAAGATACAAAGCTGTGCACCTGCAGGGGAGGAAACAATGAAATTTTATGTGATAACACCAAAACTCTCAGTGTAGCTTACTTCAATGCTTTACACCCACCCTAATAGTTAGATCAGGCTCCAGTAGCTTTTTACTCATTCAATCAATGCCATGTTCACACCCCATTAAAATCAACAGAAGGCTTTCTTTGCTATAAAGGGTTCAGAATGCTTTAAATTTTTTTCCAGAAAATTAATTTGCATGAAATACCCACCGTGTAAGAGGATGTTGGGAACTCTCACACTATGGTACCAAATATAAATCACTCCTATTGCAAATATTACTTATGAACATTAACAGAAATATTCTTTGTTATTATCCAAGGAAAAAATATATGAAATTCAAGTATTCTTCATGATGAAAGACATGAATATAAACACTTCTGTGTGTAATCACAATAAAGCCATAATTCTAGTTGTATAATAAGCTTGAAAAGAGCTATGTTTATAAACATGCACAGTGGGCTACAGATAAATATTACAGAGATTGTTTTAGAATGCTGTAGAATAAAACTTCTTTTGTGTTTGCAGTATTTCCAAAGAGGAAGAAATTAGTTATCAGTGAGATAAACTAGCGTTTGTTTCATGTGATTGCTCTGCCTGTCAGAATTCCTTTATAGAATAGATTTCTGTAACAGAAATCATAATTGTGACATAAATACAAAGTATTATAGCAATAACCAGCTAGGCAAAAGGCTTCTTATTGCATTATAAGCAATTTGCAGTTCACAGAAGCTCCATTATGCTATCCAAAGAATAATGTGGGCTTCAGATAAAACAGGCACGTTACTACTTACACTTCATTGGTTTTTAAAGAGATACAGGCCAGATATTTTAAAATGGACTAAAAGTTTTTTCAACTTTGTTATCTCAGTCTTCTTAAAACAATTAATTAACACGTCCAAATATGATGTTTTTCTCTTTGCATCTAAACATCTCTGGAACATTCTTTTCATTTTCTGGTGTCTCTTTTAAACTTAATCATTCCATAAAACTTTTTTCCCTAGTGGTAAGTGTTGCTTAATAGACTTAGGACAAAATAAGGGAAGGATATTTTATTCTGCAACTGCTTGCTTCACCTCTGATTATTATTATTTATTATTGTCCTTCATTATGCTTTTGAAGTTACATACGTCATGTGATTGTACATGACCAATACACACAACCAGTCACTTTAAAGAAAAAAAGAAAAACGTGGGAAAAACATGAAGCTGACAAAATGCTGAGTAAAATTTTGCTTTTTCAAACATTTCTTTAATTTGAGAAGTTCTGTGTTTGTCACAATTACTGAATCACTACACTTAGTAAGAATCTTGTGCACAGTTACACTGCTACTGCCTGGTAGCTGAAGAAAGGATCAGTTAAATCAGAAATAAGGACTTCTGCATGGTCTTACACTCAGAAGGAGTAATATGGGGAATTTGTTTAATAATATTTAATTGCATATATTTCTGTGTGTGTATATATATAGACATATATGTAAATATATATGAATGCTAAATTAAAAAGCCATATTAGTACACGATTTGTGAATTTGCAGTAACTATGAGAATTATACCAACAGATGTATTTCTCAAAAACATATTTGGAAGTTAAATCATAAGCATAAAAGTCTGAGTGTTGTGTTTAGCTTCATGTGAATCAACTTATGTGCACAGTTGTGCTAAGGAGAGCGAGAATTCAAAATGTGGTTTTATGGGTCCTGGTTAGTTGCAACTTTTCACCTCCACGGAAATAAATAGAAAACTGGGGTCTTAGGATTACTTATTTAGCAATTTTTCATTATATTGCATAGCTTTGTAATTTATTGTTGCCTATAAAACTGTAAATTAACTGGACTTATTATTGATTTCTCTGAGGAGATAGCATATGCTTCCAATAATGGTCCTTGGGGAAGGAAGCGCAAAGAAGGAACAATGAGCTGTGAGTTAGAAACAATGTAAGTTTTGCTTTGTCCTGCAAATTACTTCTGAAGCTGCTAAATTGTCTTTGTTGAAAGAGGTCACAGAGCTTTCATTTCATCATGCACAATGTCCAGGGTACCACTAACTTACAATGTGTGTTAATACAAAAGTCACTAAAGTAAGCCTTTTAAAGAAAAGTCTCTCTCGCCTTGGTCACAGTTTTCTTCGTCACTGCCATCCACGCAGTCATGGATCCCATCACAAAGCCATCTGACAGGGATACAGTAGGCCCTATTTTTGCATCGAAACTGATCTTCTTTACATTCTGTTACACAATCCATCTGTGTGAATACAGATATGAACTAAGTATTACTGGATTAGAACAACAATGTAATTAAGACAAACCTATCAAAATTTACCAACGCTGGTTTTGATTGCCCTTCGTATTTAATACAATAAAGTTGTCCCTGACAATGGAATGTGCAACTAAATACTTACTGAAGTCCAAGTGAAATTGTAACCACATGTTATATATATTCTGATATTACTTCTTCATGTTGCTTAGCATTAGCAATGGAAATAATGGCCAAATTTCCATTTCTGAAGTCAATTGCCCTAAGAGAACCAACCCTGGACATGAGGACAGTTAAACTAGCTCACATCCACATTGATCAGGACTAGAAACCTCCAGAGTTGATTGTCTTCACCTGCACTGTGTGGCATTTGGCTCAGGCATCCTTCAGGCTCTAACTGGCATCTTTATAGCCAAATTTGTCTACTCCAAAAGGTGGCCACAGAGCAAACAAACATGATGCAGTGTAACTGCCAGGGAACCAAAATCACGGGACTAAGTTATCTGACAGTGTTCAATGGATTAAAAAAAAAAAACAACCCACCCAAAACACTTGCCCTTTTAATTATTTTCAGTTCTAAAACTGTCAAATTCATGTCAGATGGTAGGAAAAAAAAAAAGTCAGCAGAAATTTGTCAGCTACCTCATCAGATCCATCAGCACAGTCATACTCTCCATTACATTTCAAAGATGCCGAAATACAGCCTCCACTTGCACACACGTACTCACTTGGAGAGCAGGTTGGAGATGCTGGTTACAAACACATATTTTAGCATTAAGAAAAAGAGAATTAATAAATAAGTTGCTTTATAATTTAATGTTTTCATCTGGTTAACATAGTGAGCAAGCATATTTGCCGTTGAACAAAGGTTTTCTAAACACTCATAAACTACAACAAAATATTTGACAAAACTTAACTGTTACATCCCAAATAAAATGTATAATGATAGTGAATGGATATTTGTGTTTTATCACTGAGAAATTTCTTTTTGTGTTTTTCTTGTGCTTGGTAACAATGTTAACACACATACACATAATTCATAGAATGAATGCATTAAAAAAATTGCCTTCTTTAAAATTGGCTTAGGGTTTAGCTAAAGGTATGTAAGTACTTATAATTAAATAAGATACATTTATAGGAAAGCATGGTTTTAGAAAGCATACATTATTACGATTAAACTAAATGCATATTACTCAGTTTTACTTAAAATACAGATGGATATTTTTGTCACATTGGAAATCAGGGGAGTTTTGTCATAGGCTTCTATCAGCTGCACCCATCTAGATGAAGCTTACAAAAAATTAAGCAAAACTCCTGCAAAAATAAACAACTACATTTTCCAAGACAGTAGTAAGGAAATAAAACAATAACAAAAAAAATTAGTAATTTGCTAGAGAAAACCTTTACATAAGGACTAGTAAAAACTGAATGAACACCACAAAGCAAAAAGTCTCCAAAGACACTTCAGTAACATGCCAAGAATTACTGCTCTTTGTAGAGCAGAATTTTATAAACTGAGTATACATTATCAAATTATATTTCAATATAATTAAGTACCATTCCCCCCAACAAGCTTCATATTGCATAGCTGCATGTAAATAGGGTTTTCTAAACATGAGTAGGACAACACAATGATACACATTTAAAAAAATAAAGTATTTCAGATCTCTTTGTACTCCTCCCTAACTCCTAGTGCACAAGGAATCTTGATTTGTTGATTTATTTTCTCCTTGTTCACTCTGATTTATTCCTTGCTTCATTTTATTTCTCAGCATTATTTAAAACAATACCTGGTTCACAATTTTTCTCGTCATCCCCAAGTTTGCAGTCTTCATGACCGTCACATTTCCATTTCACTGATATGCACTGACCGTTGGAACACTGGAACTGATCCCTTGAACAGCCCGTTTCACAATGCCTCTGGTACAACAAAAACAATGTACGTACAAGATCAAGAGTTTCATATAAATATTAGTAAATATACAGCCTATCAGAGAAGTTACAGCCTATACCCCTCCACACTATGAAATACAGTAATGCCTCATGAAATTAAACATATTTGTAGATACGATTCATGTAGGGTGGCTTGCACCCTCTAAGTAGGTGGGAAGCACCTGAAATCCAGCACTTCCAGGCAGGAAAGGAGAAAGGACAAAAGGGACAGAAAGAACAGTAAAACAGCAAAGCAAATAGCCAGTGAGCTTCTGCTACACCAGAAACAGTTTACATAGTGTTTTCTCAAAAAAACCCCCAAACCCCTTACAAATCAAACCACACCAAAACAAACCACTGTTGTGTGTAGAAAGAGTGGCTCCCCAATCAGGACACAAAATATCCTCCAGGATGGGAGGAGGTCCAGATTATTGCTGGGACAAAATGATGTAGACTATGTTAAACATGACTTGATTTTATTTGCGTGTTCTCTTTTTAGGATAACTGTTTCAATAGGTTTAGTTTTAATTTAGTAAAGACATTTGCATGTACGGATTCATGTATAGAAGTCCCATTGCTGCTTTTTAGAATATTCTTATGTGGGAATCCATTCTCTGGCAATATAAACCTACTAATTTCCTAAACAAGTATTTTTCCTGGAAGAAGCCTACCTCATCTGAGCCATCTGCACAGTCATAGTCTCCATCACACCAGAATCTTGCTGAAACACAGTCTCCATTTGCACAAAGAAAGTCTTTCAAAGTGCATGTTTGAGGCTCTGAATAAAGAAAAGTAACAACCCTAGGTTTATTAGCATTTCCATAAAGTATTTTATACATACCACCCCCACAATCACTCAGTGAATGACTACAACAAAGGCAAAATCACTAACTTGCAAACTATAAGGATTTTCTTCTTGTACGATTTTGTTTCATAACATTTTATAACTAAATTTAATTTATATATACTAAGACCATAATGAAAATACTTTCATTTCAGTTCTGTCAAATTTGGAAAATTATGTCATGCTGACTATATAAATATTATTTATTTCAATGCATGTATGTTATTACAGGTTTTGTGAGGTATGTACCACAGACTAGAAATTCATTTTGCACCTGACAATTAGAACTAACCAGATCTTTGATTTTCGTCACGCAATAACATACCATTTATCACATACATTTTAATGTATACATGTTTGTGTCAAGAGTCAGCTTCCCCTGTGCTAAGCATTCAGGGGAACAGCATTGAGATGGTAAATGGAATGCCTAAGAGGGAAGGTTTAGAGTTTCAAGTAAAATAATTCAGTTTTCCAGAAACTAACTACAGGACGAAGCACGACACTAATCCACGGACTTAAATACTGACAAAATTGTTAGAGAGAGTTAACAGAATGAGAATAGAGTGAGTTGCGAAAGTCAGTGGAAAGTATAGTTTCATAAAAAAACCACTACTGTCAATTTGTAAGAAAACATTGAAAAGGAAAAAAAAGGTAAGGATAAGGATGTAATTTTCAAGTAAGTTTAGGGAAACAGAAGGGAGATGTTAGATAAAAATAATCTAAGGAATTTACAGATGCATAGGAGGCAGTAATGGCTGGAAGGTAAGTGGGATGTTTTGTGATAAATGGGTGTGTTGTTCTACTCCCTGGGAAGAAACAAAACACAGGGAGGTCTGAAGTCATTATAAAAGGCAGACACAATAAAGGGGAAGAGTACACAAAATTAATTCAAGGTGCAGGCAAAGCACACAGGACAAGCAGGCTGCAGGGAGTGATGGAGTAATCCTGGGAAGGTGAGATTGGCTGTTTCAGCCTATTTACTTCACTGTCTGCACAGCTCTGCGGTGTCGCTACCGTGCCACGAAAGTGCTGGCAAGGGGAGCAGTGCGGAAGATTCCCCCAGCGGAATACTACGTGCTTTGCTCCTGAAAATGAGGACCATTACAAAAGACAGTGGAAAATAATGACGTTAGCGCCTGGACTTTGGACCACGAGATGAAAGAAAGGTAGAGAGGTAGTGGTGATTGAGCAGAATTTGAGCGAGTCTCTACTTTAGACTTCGCTTGTCAGGGAGATTTGGGAAAGCGGGACTGGAAAAGCAAACAAGGGTTATTTGTGGGATTATTTCACTCACAATAAACATTGCAATATGTAAATAATGTAAAAGGAAGAATAAGGATTAATTAGTAAGACCTCTTCAACAGAGAGATGGGAACAGTTCAGGCAAATGACAGTGACTAAATCAATGGAGGAAGGGTAAAAAAGAAAGGAGAGACTGAGAGCAGACAGTAGCGATGGACAGCAATGGGTTGGGCGATGCTGAAGGGCCCTTGGGGAAGGCGGAAGCATGAGTCCTTTTGAAAAACATACCACAGTGATCAAGGAAAGCAAACACAAAATTAGAGGCTTCCAGTTGAGAAGAATGTTGTAAATACCAGCACAAGAATACAAAAGACGTGAATTGTGCAAATCTGAGGTAAAGCCGAACTTAGGTTTTTTTCTGGATTTGTAAACTTTTTTTTTTTTAGTAAAGGAATAGTTTTAATGACCCTTTCAGCTTCTTTTTTTTTTTCTTCACTTCACTGAAAAAGTTTGGAAGTTTTTAAGAGAAATTTCATTTTTCGGGTAGGCACAACTTTTCAATTTCAAAGTTGCAGGAAAGTCGTAATAAAAGCAGATCTACAGTAATTGCATCAGTTCTCCAGCAACGCTGTATTTAAGCAAATCTAAGGGTAGCACTTTATATGGATTCTTAGATTACATACATACTATTTCTAATTTTTTTCAAAGCAACAGTTCATTGTTATAAACGTTAGTAAATCACTGACATGTGATTCTTCTTGTTGCCAACAGGCCAGGAAGAGGAAGTTCAAGATATGATAAATTATGTAAAGGAAATAATTTGTGGAACAAGTAATTCACATGCAAATAAACATTTGTCATGTTTCTACACTGATTTGCAAAATATAAGCAAATACATTTTCTATACTCCTAATGAATTATTTATAAACAGAGATTTGACTCTGGAAAAATGTACACAATAAGCTAACTTCTCAGTTCTCTGTTTGCAAGAAATATTTCTTCTGCTGCTAGAATATAACTCTGTGATTTACATATGAACACAGAAGAGTACTTTCCCAGCAGGGCTCAGACTGTTAGTAATGGAGTAAGCATTAATAGACTTCTGTATAACCGATGGAGGACAGCATCTTTCAGCTTCTTCTTTATAAAAACATTGAAACTCCTTCCCAAGAAAAGCATTTTTGAATTATTAGAAAGAACGTTATTTGAAACGCAGCACATAAGATGATCTACTTGCTTCACATTTTTAAGTCTGAAAATAATCTGTAGAGTCAACAGACATTTGACATCAACTTAAACAATCAGAAACATTTAAAATAATTTCATATTTAGAGTTCAATTTTGTATTTAATTACCATAGATATTGTACTAAGTCATGAACTGAAAATATTATCTAGGAGACCGATTACTTATATACAAGTCAGAGGGAAAAAACATAACTTTTTTCTTAAAATAGCATATGAAGGTCAAACTTACAGTGTTCTTTAGCTGTATTTGTACAGGTTATATATGTTTGCTCTTCGTGAGAATTCTATGTCTTATAACAGCTGCTACAAAGCCAACTTTTAGAGAAACTAATTTGTATATTAGAAAAGGTGGAATGTGTACATAGAAAAACAAACAACAGCAAAACAAACATGGGATAGGAGCACTTCAAACAAAATGAATTAGAAGTGTACATCGACCTCTTGATTCCTCCTGGCATTTGGCAAAGATTTAGAGGAATTAGGGGACATACTTAGGGCACACTTTGTTGTGATGAATGACTATTTATCAGATCTACTACTAGATGGTTGTGTTGGAGTTGAACCCTTTCAATAAGCCAAGGCAGAGTATCCAGTGTGGTGTATCCACACAACATCAGAAAAACAGTATTGTCATGATGTTGTGAGTTAATCCCAGAGGGCAGCCAAGCCACACGCAGCCACTCAGAACGGTGACAGTTCAAAAACTTGTGGGTTGAGAAAAAGACAGTTTAATAGGTAAAGCAAAAGCTGCATGCACAAGCAAAGCAACATAATAATTTGTTCACTACTTCCCATCGGAAGGCTGGTGTTTAGCTGCTTGCAGGCAAGCAGGGCTTCATCTTGTGTAATGGTCTTGGGAAGGCAAATGCTGTAACTCTGAACATCTCCCCTTCCTCCTTCTTTGCCCCAGCGTTTTATTGCTGAGAGTGACATCATATGGTACGGGATATCAGTTGGGGTCAGCTGTCCCGGCTGTGTCCCCTCCCAATTTCTTGTGCACCCCCAGCCTACTCGCTGGTGGGGCAGAGCATGAGAAGCAGAAAAGGCCTTGATGCTGTGCAAGCACTGCTCAGCAACAACTAAAACATCGGTGTATCACCAACACTGTTTCGGTCACAAATCCAAAACACAGCACCATAGAAACTCCTATGAAGAACATTACATCTATCATCTCAGCCAAAACCAGTAGGTATGACAAAATGGAAGAGGAGAAAAAAACCAAACCACCCTTCCTCATAATTCTCCATTACGATACTGCTAAAAACAATACCCTGGGCTATCCTGCAGAACAAATGCCGGTAAGCACAAGATCATGAGTCATAGGTGGTTTTTTTTCACATATTTAATGTGGCATTAAATGTAGATTTTCTTTACTTATTTATTTTCAGTAACTTTACTTAGCACTGTATGTCACCAAAACAAAGATGACACTTGTTCTTTGTTAATCTAGGCATAAGACTGGTAAGTCTGGACATCTAGCTGCTTTGAGACAACTGACACTAGCCACTGCTGACCTGCACTAAGTCAGATGAGCCGTAAGCAATGTAAAGAACGTGAATTTACAGCACTGTCCACTCAAAAGTTACTCAAGATGACATTATGAGACATTCCAGCTTAGTTTCTTTCAATATGCTAATTTAAAATGTTTTCACTTAAACATTAAATAGTTGCTAGTTCTAATTGCATTTGGGATACAAACTTATCCCAGGACAAAATGAATTCCTTTTCTTGACAACTTGGAGGAGCAACAGAACAGCATTCAGAAGATTCTATAGCAACAGTAATATTTTTATGCTGATTGAATTCATGTATTTCTACAGCATTATTACATTTGCTTTGCTTCAATGTTTACAGAGTATTATATTTTCTTTAATTACATTCAATAAAGCATTACTGGTGCTT